CACAAGAGTTGTACTTCGACAGCTTTCCAGTGTCCAAGCTCAGCGTCGAGGGAAACGGGCAATAGAGGTATGGAAATCTTGTAGTGTCAGAATTTAAATAATTATATCCCATCATAATTTGTATTGCCATCTTTAAGGTATTGAAGAAGCTGGTTCGGCGTAAACTTTTGTATCATTCTTACTCAATGCAAGTTCATGGCTATATCTGTTTGCCTGCAAGTGGTGGTAGTGGCTCATTTATCCTAGTCCATGGGGTAGGTCTTCATCTACGTATGATTTATTCTTTTAATTCCTTTTTATATAGTTGTATACTTGTAAGTCTCTTTCTTGTTTAGAATGTTTTGTCAATTTGAGTCACTCTTTAACTTTGTGACCAGTAAAAACAGAAAGAAAAAAAATGATCCTTTTTCCTGGTTTAATAACTTCTCTTTGCAGTATCATGGCAGTTTTTCTTTGAGACACTGGCTTCAACAATCAGATTGGCTTCCAACTTTAGAAGCCACTCTTGCACTGGATGAAGAGTCTGTTAGGAAGGTAGGAGAAGACACAACTGGAGGTCCTGCGGTTTCTAGGCAGTTGCGACTAATTCGAATATTGATGAGGGATCTTCTAATTGGGGTATTTATATTTATAAACTTTCTCCTTAATCTAGTCTTTTATGTTAGCATTTTTACTTATTAGTGATTTGTATATTCTGCATAGCAATAGGAAGAATGATATTATGTCTTATGATTCATTGACTTTAGGTAAATTACCTGCACAGCCATGGTCTTGCCCATACAGAGCTGAGGCTGGAAAATGTGCATATAAGCCCAGTAGACAGACATATCAAAGTAAGCATGGCTGTTCACTTACAAAACTATAATTTTTCCTTCTTTCTTCATTTACCATCCATTTTCTATCTGTTCTGTCTTCTGTGTGGATTACCTCTGCTGTTTGACTTACCCCTGAGAAGGATCTGTACATTGTTTATGCTGTAAATTCACAGAATGTCACGAAGACAAACCTAGATTTTTGTTTTTGTAGATAGTCTGAAAATTACTGTAATTCCAAAAGACAGGAAATGATCATATCATGATGATTTTGGTTTGCCACCTCTATGATAAAATCGAAGTACATATTGGAAACACGATCAAATTTAGGAATGGTAGAATAGCAGACAGGATATGCAGTATATAGTTTCTGGATGGTAATTTCCAGAGTGCTGATAATTCTCAGCACTGAATGAGTGATGTATATAATCTAAGTTACTGGAAGCTAATAACTAGTGTTTCTTTACATATTAATATCTCCTCTCATGATTGGTTTAACCTTTAGTGTTGGTACACCAGGTTGGTACTCTGGGAAATGCGGCTGACTTCTGTGAGGATGGTTCAAATGGCAGCTCCGTGGACAGCATGGACAGGCGACAGATGATGATTGCATTTGACATGAGGTATGGCCTGGGAAACTTTCCATGAAGTCTGGTATGTAGCTATATAATATTTCTAATACCTTATTATCTGTGTTGCAAAGATGCATGGGTTTCATAATGGCAAGAATGGTAATAGGGGAACTTATGGATCCTTTGATCTTTGCAAAGTTCAAATCATTCCTCACAAAGGTATGAGAAATTAGGTTTTTTTATTTAAATTTAGCTGCTTGACTGTTTAAAAACTATTCAAGCATTTTTTTCTTCTCTTGTTTTTCTTTAAAAAAACTAGATGACTTAAATGTTTTAGACTATTAAACAAGCCTCTTCTTAGTAGGTAGGGTCTACTATATGGATCAAACAACTCCATATTTTATCAGACTTTTATTTACTTTCTTTTCCTAAATGGTTTCATCTCTATATGTCTATTTTATGTCAGGTTCAGATAATGTACCTAATGTCAAATACCTTATGGTAGTTAAGAAAGGGAATCATTAAAACAATTTGAAAGGGGATATTTATATATGTAGAAAAGATGTGCTTCAAATGTTCTATTTTACATATTCTTTGAGAACAGAAACACACAAGTTATAGAAAAATAAATTGCAAAAGAGTCATGATTGACGTGAATTTCTAATGATATCTCCAACTACACGCAACTTCAGGGGTATGATCCTTCATGTTTGCGAGAGCTTATGTTGGAAACCCTTGGTAGAAGCTCCCCATATGGAAATCCCGGCTTACAAGTATGTTTATGCATTTTCAGGGAAATTTATGTAATATAGAAGTTTTGTTCTTGTTTTTGAGTATTTTGATGACCTTCTACCCAATTTTTTTCAGATACTCGATAGAAACTGGGGTGCTGGTTGGCACCTTTTATCTTTATTGCTTGCAACAAAACCTTCGCAAAGAATAAGGTATGCTATGAATAAATATTGTTCTATGTGAAATGACTATGTTATTCATCAATTCTCCCACATTGTAGAGTGATAAATTATTATTCATCAATTCGATTGAAGATGGTATTTTGAATTGCCCAAGTGTCCAACTGGTGTTAACCATGTGAACTGTGATACAGTTGTTTAGATGCTCTTAGGCACCCATTCCTTTGTGGTCCAAGATGGCGAGTAGTCCCATCAATGGATATTATCAGATGGGGTCTAGGATCTACCGCAACGCGTATCAGCGAGGAATACATTTATCGTCAGCCTCAGGTATTCATCCAAGGATAAGGCATATATGTAGTGTGTTCCTCTGTTGCTTTCTTAGTACCTCGATTCTTGTATAAGAGCTTTTATATTTCTTGGTTTCTGATATCCTCAAGTTTTTGAAACTGAAGTTTCATTCTTGATATTCTCCTTAATGCTTTGATGGAAACATTTAACCTCACCATATTACATAATTTAAATGCCGAAGGTACATTGTATGAAGTTCGACTAACTTGTATATTCTATGTTTTAGCGTAGTAGGCTTGCCCACTTCATTGACTTAATGGAAATGCTGAATCCTCATCCAAAGCCAAAGGTAACCAGTGATTAAAAATTTGTATCTTCTTTCCTCTTATCATTGTTTCTACAATTCTTTTCTTTGGAACGGATCCATTGCATTCATCAGTAATGCTAAATAGTACTTAACCATTTTGCCTGCCCTTTAGCTTATCTTACTCCTTACACACTATGTCACAGATCCTCTCTACAGCTAAAATAAATATATAATAAATACAATTCTTAATGGGAGTAACCTTAATCATTTGGTATTATCGAGTCTTATTAGTTGGAGGGACGAAAACATGATCCTAAAAGGGTAAAACTTGCTATTTTTTAATATAATAGAAGAAAAAATTAATGCTAAAGGTTATGCCAATTTAAATGACACTATTCATGTGTGCAGAACTGGCTTGAGCTGCTCCCAGGCAAATGGCGTCTATTGTACTGCACCGGGAAGCACATAGGGCTGACCCTTCGCCAACCTCCTGCCCGTGTACTCATTGGTGATGTGCATTTAACTGTGACAAGGGGATCAAAGTCGAAGGCCAAACTTTCGTTCGTCTCTGACATTGGATTCTCTATCATGACCGGTCAGGACTGGCCTCATAACAAAGCTGGTAAAAATGGAAGATTGCAGGTGAATTCTTCATTTTCACTAACAGCCGGAAGACGGTTATATCTGAAGCAAGACAAAACCACAGAGCAGAAGTTCTACCTTGGTTCTTCAAGCAGTGAGGAGGCTTTAGCACAGAAATTTACTGGGAAGAAATGGAGAAAATTAATTCCTTTTGAGGAGTTTCCATCAAGTCTTCCTGCAGCCAAGCTTGCATCAAGTGATATTAATGTCACAATGAGTCTTGATGATCCATTAAATGGAGACATTGATATGGCAACAAATGTGCTTCAAGAACTTAGAACACAAATTCCCCCAGAAATATTTGATTTGTCAAAGCTTGTGTGTGGAACTTATGTGGACTCAAGGATGCTTGTCCTTAGAGGAGTTAATGGATCAGCTCTCCTATTTTCAAGGTCTTTTGTGGATAGAAACACTGCTACTTAATTGTTATCATAGCAGATTCAAAAACTATTATTTGTGTGTATATATTTCCTTTTCCATTTTATATAGCTGCTTAGTCCATTGTGATATCTTGAAATGAATGCTTCCCCCCTTCAATTCTCCTTAGGTTGATTCATCCTTTATCATTCTTTCTTGTCATTCCCCTTGAATTCTCCTTAGGTTGATTCATATTCTAAGTTGTTTTTGGGAATGAATTTGTCATTTGATGGAAAAGTTTACAAGTTGTTAATCACTTATTCCAATCACCTTAGATATAAAATATTAACCACTGCTTAGCAAAGAAATTTTAATCAATAATTATTAGAAATTAATTATATTCAGAGGCAATTGATCACTAGTTAAGAACTCCCTAGTCATCTAAATTTTTGATGAATAATTATAGTTATACAAATATTTAATTTTATATACACCACTTTATAGTTTTTGCATTATCAGTTTATCATATATAATCAATGAGTAATTGATTTTAGTGACATGTGGTTGTGGTTATTTCACTTTAAGCAAGACTCAATTGAATATGGAATACAGAGAAAATCCAAAATATGGTGATAATTCATACATACTTAGATTTTATTGGTAATAAATACAATAGCATACATGAAGTCTAAAAGCATATCTCACCAATTCAAAGAATGTTATAGTCTTTTAGATTTTGTTGTTTTTAATCAAATGAAATATAACAACCCCTTATAGTAAAGAACAATTTATCACCCTATTGAGCCAATACGATAATATAATATTGAATTAAGTTATCCATTTTTGGTGATTCCCCTATTTATTGTGAAACTATGGAGACAATATACCAAATATCATAAAAATAAAAAATAGTTTATTTATATATCTAGTCATGACTGAAAAGTATTAATAAAAATATATTTGTGTTTATAGAATAAATTAATTGAAAATAAAAAATAACAAACAAAACAGTTTACCTTTTTAGATAAAAAAAATTTGAGTAGTTATTAGTTAAGATTTAACTAAAGAAAACATAAAATAGCACATAGTTTTTTTCATCAATCATATCGAATAACACATACAAAATAATGACATATTTGTGAGAGAAGATATGAGTTATTTGAGGTGTAATAATTTGGTTGAGAAGTAAATAGGAAAGTGAGTGAGAAGATTTAGAGGAGAGGGGGATGAATTGTGTGCAATTTGTATCTGAAACAACAAAAGACATGTCCATAGTTTTGCACCTTGTTCTCCAACAACACAATGTCCCATGATGTTGGTTTTGCTCACAAAAACTAATCTAAACAGGTAAACAACTTTTTCAACTATTTCTTCATCTTATTCTTCTTAATCTCCTTAGTTTTTTTATTTATTTAAATTTTTATAATTCTTGCATACAAATAATTCATTTCCACCACAACTACCTAATCCAAAGCTTTGCTTCATGAATTAATGAACGATTTATAGGTTTATGCAATCAAATAAGCCTAATTAAATAGAACAAAGCTAATATATTTCTTGTATTTATCTCTTTATGTGTTCTCTTTCTTGCATTATTTATCTCTTATACACATTCCTCTTAATTGTTCTCTTCACTTGTATGAGTTTCGTACATAATTTGACTCTTTTTTTTGGTTATTAGGTTTTGCACAAATACAGCATAACAATACTCAATTATTATTCATATTTTTATCATCTAGGAAAAAACTATTTGATACTCTGAAGTTTCTTATTAATGATTGTTTTATAAAATGAAAACTAAAAATAATAATTGATTAATAAGAAATATAAATAGATTGTTAATTATACCAATGATTTATCTAATTCAAAATCCATATTCTATAGTAGTATATCATAATTTGCAGTACAATAAAAGTGGTAGAAGAGAAAGGGCAGAATGTTGAGGGAAGGAATTGATTTATAACATTGAAGTAGGAGAATAAAAGTAATATCTGGTGATACATTTACAGAGACACCAAGAGTTTGCTCAATCTATAGGTTTTATTAGAAGTTGATGAATATATAAACCAAAAAGGGTAAAAGAAAAACACAAAACTATGTGTTTGTTTTTTTGTTTTTGTTGTTGTTTCTGCCTACATTTTCTTCTTCTCTTCAATTCATTTGATGAAAGTTACAGTTCTGGTGTTGTATCTGTGAGATTCCTCTGTGGTTAGTGTTCTTCATGGAGAAGAAACAGTAGTTGCTCTCTTCAATTCATTTCTCTCATCTGATCTTCATTTTCATTCATTAGTATAATCAAATCCTTATTTCCTAATTCATGAATTTCCGGCAGTTCGGAGCTTTACATAGACAAGGTACTTTTGATTCAGCTGGCTCATCAGGATCAAATAAGTAGTCATACCTGCCCAGTCAATAACCAACCAACATTATTAACTAATCATAAAATTCATGGTGAATTGAAATCACCAAATGCATGCATGTGCACACACAAAAACACAATCAAATCGCAATCTATATTCGACACTTTCAATTGTCGTATATGTTTCTCGTACTTCCTAGCATTAGACACACAATCAAAGGTGCAGGTAATGATAGAGTGTGAGAGAGATATACGTCAATTCATCGCCAGCAGATACTTTAGTCTTAGCAATGAGTACAATCCGACTTTCATCGTCACCTACACACATGATCCTTGCATAGCAATTCGGCATACACTGTATTAACAGGAACCAAAGAACTTGTAAGATGAGGGTCCCAATAGAACAATGATGTACAAACAATGAGTCTGAGTTAGGTTCACTCACAGAATGATTGATTAGCCGTGCTATATTTCCTTTATCTGTGGCATCTACTACCACTTCTTCACTTATCTTAAACAGCTGCAGAATGTGAATAATTATGACTAATTTTCTTTAATAGGCAAACATGGGGAAACAAGAATAAGATGTTTGAGGAGAGTTAACTCACATAGCAGTCTTTTCCTTCTAATCTATAGCGAGCCTCCCTCAGATCTGCAATGCTGCCCCTCACTTGTTCACCGCGATACTCAAGAACCTGTTTATAATTAAATCATGCTTATCATTGCTACAAAGGATTAAAGGTTATCACATACTTCTGTTTAATGATCATACCATTTCTCCTTCTTGAATATCTCTGCGTGCAAAGAGGCCCCATCCATGTATGCCCGATCTACCGAAGCAAACGCGTTCATTTTCGGTTTTCTAGAATCATACAAGTGTAGCCATAAAACAGTCATAAATTTGATCACAAAAGCCAATAATAGTTCAGTTATGAAGGAGAAGATTCACCTGTAAGTGACAAAGGCGCTCTCTGAAAGAAGAAAATGACCTGGGTTCCTCTTCCACATTCTGTTTCAGAGGAAGAGATGAGAACAAATTCAAGCTAAAAGAATGAACAAGAAAACCCAATATAATAAATATCTTGAAAGATAAATGGTTTACCCTGTATTTATTTAATCTCTGTATTGCATCTAAAGGATGGTGGTAGGGACCCCTCACTTGATGAAAAATGGCCTCATCTGCTGCTTTCTAACAAGTAGAAGAAATAAATGTAAGAAAAAGTGCAAACATGTTAAGTTATTAATTATTAGAGGCAACAGTTAATAACAAGGTCTACTAGATGAACATACAAAGCAAATGAATCAAAGAAAGAAAAGCAGTAACCATTATATTTCATGATTACATCCCACATATAAGTTTGCATCCAAGCAAATACAAGCTTTCACCAATAACAACAACAACCAAGCCTTTATCTCACTAGGTGGGATCGTCTATATGGATCGAACAATATTGTAATGGACAATAAATGTCAACGAATTACCTTTTTTGTATGATTTGTTCTCCGGAAAATACGGCACCGAGCAGCAGAGAATGGCTCATCGTCGGCGTTATCCAAAGGAGGAGTGTCATCTTGCTTCATTTTATTTGATGCAATCAGCCTTGATCCACCCTTTTTCTTATTTTTAAGAAGGCTTTTAGTTGAAATGATTCCATTAGGGGTTTGCACTATCAAGACATTGTCAGGATTAGGAGCCCTACAAAAATAATACACATGGTTAAGAAACAAAGAGATTAAGGTGAATTTCTGATAAACCTATGTATGTGGTACAATTACAGAAAGATTATAGCATGTTGAGAAAAAGGAAAACCCTGTAAAGGAAATAGGAGATAGGGAAAAAGGTGAGTAATCTCTTTCTCTGTTGTAATTGAAGATTGCATACCTGTGGTAAGCACAATAAGAAACCCATTTTGTTGTTGGCCTACCATTTTTTTCTGAACAATGCATCTGCATTTAAAGGGAAGAAAACTTAATAAACTATTGCCACAACGGAACATTCAAGAATACAGTAACAATCAAAGTATGGTCCTAGAATACAGTAACCATTTTATGATCCATGTTAGTCTTGTAACATGAAAATGGAAAGGCATGCATTATGAAGGTAACAAGGGAGTAACTGTGATCAGTAATGAAAAAGTATGATTAAAGTTAAAATCATATTTTCCTAGAATAGGAAAATAAATGGAAATTGTGAAATCATAAGGTATCTATTAAGCCAAGCCAATGTGAGTGAATCTTTACCTCCATGCGATATCCAGCTCTTGATGCACAAGTAGTATGAAAATATGTGGAACACTTGCAACATTGTGTACATGAACCATGGATTTGTTTGCAGATAACACAAATCTGAAATCCAAGTAATGCAAACTTTAGTGTGAAATATGCAAGAAATGACATCACTTTGCAGGGGAAAACTTTATTGAACAAATTATGGTATTACAACAGTATATTTTCACAAACTTAAAAAACTCTTCCCATAAATGTGGACACATTTTTCCAAGTCATGGGCAAGATAACTTTAAAATAATTATAGTAAGGACTTTGTTATTTTTTAAATTGTTACTTTAAAGATTAATGAGCATTTCATAGAGTAATAGCCATGTTCTCAATACAAGATTTATTCCATTTTTTTATTCAAACTCAAATGTCAAAATACAACATAAAGTGATACTGATATGAAGTACTTTTTTCCTTAAATTTGCTTTATAGCCATAAAAAGTGGGAAATGTTCACACACCTTCACAAAAGAATTTGATGGAATACTGAGAATACCCAAAGCAGGCTCCATCTTCTCATCACTAGGAAAAGAGACTTGTGGTTGAAACCAAGCACATGTGACATGAACCCATAATGTATCAATATCAGTCGGCTTTAGTGCACCACCTGGGATAAAATATATAGTTAATAACTTGAAAATTATCAACATCATATTCAAACTCTTTTATGATGTAGTAGAACATAATTGGATAATATTATAAAACCGTTTTACACGTGGATCAAAATAAAGCAAAAAGTGGAAAAAGATGCCAGACAGCATGAGAGTAGTTGAACTTATATAGGCATATCATATACAAGGTTAACAAAATCAAGTTGGGCAGTGTGCAGTTCCAAAAAATAAAATTCACATGATTGGATGATATAGTGTAAAAACTTTAAAACTTTCAGTGGATCTAATTAAGCTCAGTAAAAATGGGGACAAAAGTATTCTGAGCCAAGTGAAAAACTGAATTATGTGCCTATACAGGTTGGGGGGAAAATCAAGGGAGAGACACCCACAACAACAAGAACAATCAAGCCTTTATTCCACTAAAAAAATAAAGCTAAGTATAGGTGGCAATGTGGCATAACAGACTACCTGCCTACCCGGAGAGTCAGGACTTTGGTCTATTCAGGCTGGGCCAAAAAAAGAGCCCGATATTATTTGGGCTACCAAAAAAGCGGTTCTAGCCCAGTCCCTGTAGGCAGTGGCCTTATTCCAAAACTGGATCGATTGAACCAGCCCAAACTCAATTGGTCTATGAGCTCTATTAGATCGGTCCAAAAAACTCCATTTTTTCAAGCCGAAATTTCCCTGCACAAACCGTAATTTTCAACGGGTATAAACGGGCTGGCCCGATTTTGCCACCTCTACAAAGAGGTGACTGTACAGCATTTCCAAACAAATAAAAAGCTGATGAAGTAATACACCATACATGTAAAATATTGTGGAAGACAGACATACCTTTGACAGGACAAAGACAACACTCCCTCTTTATGTGAGGTGTTTCACAAGCCTTGCAAACCCATGATGTAAAGTCTTTAACATTTCTTGCTCCATAACATTCTTGATGAACAGCTATTTGACATCTATAAAATAAAATATACAATGCATTTATGCATCAAGTGCAATGCAATTCATCACACATAGTGGAAATACATCAACAACAAACTAAATCCATGTTAATCACTATATGATAATTTGCTAAAATTCTATAGAAACATGCAGCAACTTGTTCCTATGACTTTACGGGTTGACGATTGATAATAAACGCAATAGTAATATACAAAAGATGTTATATTACCTGTTGCAAATAATAATCTTGTTGTAATCCCAGTCTTCAACCCATCTACATACAGCACAACGTTCTGTAGTCCACTTAGCATGAACAGGCTCATATTTCTCTGTCAGAGGAAACGGTTTGCAGTAACATTATTATTCTTGAGAACTTCACCTAGGAAGCTCATTACACTGTAAAGTTGTACACAAGGAGTTAAAAGGGTACCTCGCAAGAAGGTAAGCAACTTCTGCTTCCTTTCTTTTAGAGAAGGTTTTTTAGGTTTGACAGAAACTACAGCCTTAGCATGAAATTCTGCCAACTTCAGCATCTGAGAAGTCAAATACATTGCATTAGTCACATGTAACCATATATCATGCAAAAACATGAGACCAATATTATGAGTTCTCAGGGTTTCTCAATAGCCAAGTATCATCGATATGATACTGAAGACTACAAAATTCAAAAGCAAATATAGATATAGATTATTGACATATAGAGATATTACCAAATTTAAAACCTATACCATCAATCGAAAGAGCTTAAATTAATAATACTAATCGGT